AATGAGTGTCATATCTGATTCCACCTAGCACTCAGTGAGTTTTGTTATAATGCTCGTGGTCTGCATCTTGGGTCATTAAAAACACTGCAGTCACCACCTTGGGTCATCAAAAACTTTTGGTTTTGCTTAACACTCGTTTCACTAAATATTCGTTTTTTCAGGAACCAATTAAGAGCACTAATTAAGAGCGCTAAGCGGGGGTTGCCTCGCTTAGCGCTCTTGTTAATGACAACTGCCATTAAGTTAATGACTTAACTGGCCAGCAAAGTCACTCCTTCTGACATGCAGAAAAGAGAATGGGGGAGGCAGAGTTTATATATGGGCATCAGAAAAGGCATGTGATACTGAAATGTTAAATTATATTATAGTCCTTATGACCTCAAAGCTATTTAAAAGGAGACTCCAGGGTAGAGGTCACCCATGTCTAAGGCCTAAGATAGGCACTCATGTCTAGCTGTAAGACTTTCTCTGAAATTAAAATTCTTCCTGGCAAAAAATAGCCTGGGAGCAGAGTACGTAGGTCTCCAGCCCAGGGGCCAAGACAGGGCTGCTCCCTGGGCAACCCCTACCCTTATTGGAGCTCACTGATTGACAGCCTGCCTTCTCCCCTGCTTGGAAAGCGACTGGTTGTCAACTACTGGCAGCTGCTGAAAAGTCGTAGCTGCCACATAGAGCCCTGGAAGAGGGCCCCACACCCTCCAGCAAATCAGCTAATTAGCAGTTTGGGGTGTGTGGGGGGTGACAGAAAGACTGGAGGTGGCATTTCATCTTAGCAGCAACCCTCCTGGAGGTTTGGGAGGGTTTGCACCACAGGAGAACATTTCCTACTCCTGCCAATGATAGGAGGAGCAATATTGGTTATCCTGAGCACTTAAAAGAAATGTAGAACTGCTCAAGTTAGACTGAGAGGAGGGAGATCTTCCAGGCAGGTATCAGATTTGACTTCCTTGTGGAAAAGCCAGTTCTTTTCCCCCCCAAAATCCCCTGAATGGCTGCATGTTCTCTTTTTGTGCTGGGAGTAAGGTTTTTCTTTTGACACAAATGTACTGCCTGTTTATGGCCTATGTAATTTTTATTTTAAGCACAGCATAGCACAGCACTTCAGAGCACAATCTCATCAGTACAAAATAAAAAGAAAGCATCTTCATTACCTCTCACACATGTCAAAGATGAAAAGGCAGAAGGAACCAACAGCTATGGGTCCAACCTGTTTCCAGTACCCAGAGAGACGATTCCGCTCATTTTGATCCTACTCGAGCAGAAATGGAGAAAGGTTAATTTATGAAAGATGGATACTATCTGACTGCTGCATCACCAAGACTGAAGCAGAGACTACCAAAGCAAGAAGCGGTTCTTTACCAAAAGCCGTTTTGAAAGTCATCTCTCAATAATCCCTCTTGTGATTCAGTGCCCTTTGGTGTCAAGCTGAAGTACAGGAAACCCTCGCTATTTGCAGGTTTGGCGTTCACAGTTTCAAATATTCGCGAATGCTGAACCCACATCTCAAAATACACTTACAGAAGCTCCTCGGGAGCTTTGCACTTGCTGCCGCCAGGCTCCCACGGCTGCCAGCGCAGCCATGCACCCCTCCCCCCAGCTGCCAGGGGCGCTGCGTTCATGAAGGCAGCGCTGTATTCGCGGATTTTGCCGTTCGTGGGGATCTTGAGAATGTATCCCCCGCAAGTGGTGAGGGTCTCCTGTACTGCCATATCCACTGGGAGATGCTCAAGTGCACTTATACAAGGAAAGCCTCACTGCCCTCACCTAGGTACAGAAGTGCCTTTCCTGCCTGAACTGCCTCAAGTCCTTCTCCTTAACCCATATTTCTAAGGTTAGTGAGAACTGAGGTGGAAGGGAAAGTAGCAGATAATGTAAAAGTTGCAAAGGCAACTCCTGAAGAGCAATCACTGGCAAATAATTTCTCCCCTTTTAGGCCCCAAGTTTATTCCCACTCACAGAAATTAAACAGTATCTTCCTCAGTGGAAAGTGAACAAGGAGTTCTACTTAAACATATGCTGTTGCACCTATTCCTTAATTGTGCATTGATGGGCAATGCCATGTTACACTGGTACAGGCCGAGGACTGACTGGCTAAGCAGCAGCTCGGCAGAAAAGGACTTGGGGGTGTACTGACAGTGGACAATAAGCTCAATATGAATCAAGTGTGTCCTTGTTGCTAAGAAGGCTAACAGCATACTAGGCTGCATAAGTAGGAGTTTTGCCAGCAGATCAAGGGAAGTGATTAGACCCCCTCTATTCAGCACTGTTGAGGCCGCATCTGGAATACTGTGTCCATTTTTGGCCCCCTGCACACCAGGAAGGATGTGGATAAATTAGAGGGAGTCCAGTAGAGGGCAACAAAAATGGCTGAGGGGCTGGGGAACATGACTTCTGAGGAGAGGCTGAGATAATTGGACTTATTTAGTTTGGAGAATAGAAGACTGAGTAAGGGGGACTTTCAACTAGGGGATGACAAGGTCGAATGGTCACAAACTCCTCCATGACCATTTCAGGCTGGACATAAGGAAGAACTTCTTTACTGTCCGAGCCCCCGAGGTTTGGAATAGACTGCCGCTGGAGGTGGTTCAAGCACCTACTTTGAACGCCTTCAAGAGAAATTTGGACGTTTATCTTGCTGGGATCCTATGACCCCAACTTCCTGCCCCTGGGGCAGGGCGCTGGACTTGAAGATCTTCCGAAGTCCCTTCCAGCCCTAACGTCTATGAATCTATGAAAACTACCTGAAGGGTGGTCCCACAGAGGATGGAGCTAGAGCAGGGGTTCTTAATCCCTGGGCCATGGCCTGGTGCCAGGCCACAGCGGGTTGGCTGCCAGACCGGAAGCGGCTGTGGACAGGCAAACCACAGCTCCCTATACCCTGGCAGAGAGGCTGTGACTCCTTCTGCAGGGTTTGGCCCACCCCGCCTCCCAGGGCGTGACGGCACCCTTACTTGTCTGCCGGCTGGAAATTCTGGCCACAGTCAGCTGTGACTGCTGGGCTGCGGTTTGTCGGGCCAGGCATAGAAACTTTGGGAATCCTTCAACTAGAGTGTTCTCAGTGGTGGCAGATAACAGAACAAGGAGCAATGGTCTCAAGTTGGAGCAAGAGAAGCTGAGGTTAGATATTAGGAAGAATGTTCTCATAAGGACAGTAGTAAAACACTGGAAGGGGTTACACAGAGAGATGGTGGAATCTCCATACTTGGAGGTTAAGACCTGGCTAGACAAAGCCTTGAGTGGGACGACCTAGTTAGGGATGGTCCTGCTTTAAGCAGGGGGTTGGACTAGATGACCTCATGAGGCCCCTTCTAACCCCAAATTTTCTGATTCAAAGACTAACTAATGCACAGTGAAAACCCTGCACCTAACTCAGCTGCTATTGTGCAATTATCCACCAAGAAACCTGCACTACGTATGGTAACTCACTCAGATCCCACAACATACGGATTATTTCTAGCCAAAAATGTAGCAATGTTTTATACATCTTCTAAACCAATGTGAAAGCCCATTTAGTACTCCTTGACATCCCCTCCTATGCACTACAAAGAACTAAAAGATTTCTGAAGGACAGGAAATTACTCTGCCACACCTACCATCATATGCTCTCCACAAAAGATGATCCAAAATGACAGAAGCATGGCATAGAAGATTCCTTGTCGTATATCTCCAAAAAGCAACATCCAAGTCCAGTCAAATCCAATGGAAAACCATTCTACTGGGATGTTTATGAACGTCATGGAGATCCCAAGAGCAAAGATAACTCTGGAGAGAGACGAACAAAACAAAGTCCATTTCAATTTCAAGAAAGGATAAAGACGAAGCCAGTGAAGCTCAGAAACTTGATGAAGAAAGTGAAGCTGATGGTGAGGACAGGTAGCATTTGGAATCCAGGGAGAGGGGAAGGAGTTTGCTGCCTTTAGCCCAGCACCATCTCCCTGTGCTTATGGTTACACTAGTAAGTGGTAACTAAACGTATCCATCTTCGAAAGCAGCATTACAGCCAGTTGATTCAGGTTTTGCATAAGCAACTCTATCTGTACTGAACTCTGTGGATTAAAGATTTTCCTCTACTTACTTTTCCAGCAAGACAGGAGCACGTGTCATCATTTTGATCCGCCTCCAATACCAGATCATGATAATTAAAATGCTGGGCGTGAGGAAGGTTTTCATGGCAAACCACACCTTTGTGAAACCTCCATTTTGATGGATACCCTAAAAAAGGAAAAACAAGTTCAAATGTAAGAGGTCCAAGGTATTTAAACCCTTTCCTTGCAATCAGGATCAGTTTTGCATTATCCCACAGGGAAGTTATAATGCTGCAAATTATAGCTTTTAGCATTTAACAGCAAGTATTGCTGTAAAATACATTTCTGATCTGCTTATCAAAGTGGGGGAAGGGAGGGAGAAGTGTTAACAGCTATTTGTTTAGTGTCCTGCTAATTGGTCTAGGCAATGCTGTAGCAAAAGGGGGGAGGGGGGTGCAACTGGGACACCGCCCTGGGCACCAAAGCAAAGGGGTGCCAACACACCGCCCAGCTGGGGCAGGATGCAGGACGGAGCCACAAGCAGCTCATTTGGGGAGGGTGCGTGCACTTCTAGGCAAGCATGGGGGTTGTGTGCTCCCTGGAGCCATGCACAGGGTGAGCATGGGTTGCCACTGAGAGCTTTCCCCTGGCTGCCAGACTTCGCTGCTATGACACTGACTCTAAGCAGACTTCTAAAAATTCCTGATAATGAATGCAAAAGTAGACAACACTTCTTTCACCAGTTCCTCATTATTATTAAACCAGACTCATCCAGCAGGGTGTTTTATGGACATAGTCTAGGTATACATAATTTATATCAGTATAAAATTGCCACTCATTTGACATCCAGATAAAGCTTTAATAAATTAATCTTGAAATAGGTCAGCTTAATATTAGATACAAAGTGGGAAAGGATAGGAACATAAAATGAAGCTAACTGCAGTAACAACCAAGAAAGCTAACGGGCACATTGATTAGTTCTTCAGAACTATCCAGTCTCCAGACAGCACAATAAGTCTGAGCAATTAGCTCTAGAACAGGGGTCATCAGCCAGGGGTACGTAAAAAGGTCCTAGTGGATACGCAGACCTAATGTGGCCAATAAATACCATGTGCATGTGTGCAGCTGCAGTGTAGCACACAGGCGGCCAGGAGAGCAGCCAGGTGTGTTGAGGGAACAGGCATGGGGGCGGGGGGCAGCAGATCAAGGTCCCGGTGGTGGGGGAGGGGGTGGAGCTGGGGCTTCCCAGCTGGGACGGGGTGGCTTCCACAGCTATGTGCACCTGGGAGGACGTGGGGTGCATGTGCCCCTGGATCTGCACACAGGGCGAGGGCAGGCTGGGGCCAGGGCTGTGCCAGGCTCTTCCTGGTGCAGGCTGGGCTGGGCTGGGCTATGCTTGGCGCAGGCGGCAGCGGTGCTGGGAGTAGGGCTACAAGAGGGCCTGCAACCACCCCAGAATTCGCAGCCCTCCCCACCATAGCCCTCTCCAGGACCATCGCTACCCACTCCAAGCACAGCCCAGCCCAGCTAAGCCCCCACCAGGAAGAACCTGGTGCTGGCCCCAGCCTGCCCTGCGTGCAGATCCAGGGGCACACATCCCCTCACCACCCTGCCATCCCAGGGTGTGTGCAGTGGTGGGAACTGCCCCTCCTCTCCCTGCGCCCCCTGGATGAGCTGCTAGCAGCCTCAATTGAGGCCCCGTAGTGAGGGAGAGAGTGGGACTGGGGCAGGCACTGCACAGCCGGGGCAGGGCACGGGACAGAGCCATGAGCAGCTCGTCCATGGGATGCGAGACGTCTCCCACAGCTGGGCCAGCCCACCCTCACCCCATACACAGATCTAGGGCCACACTTCCCAGGGTGTATGCTCCGGTGTGAGCTGCTCCCCCTTCCCATGCCCCCCCCCCCGATAAGCTGCTCGCAGCTCTGTCCTGTGCTCTGCCCTGGCTGGCAGTCCCAACCCCATTCCTTCCCTCACCACGGGGGCCTCAATCTGCCCCCCTACCCCCTCCCTTAAAAACAAGAAAAAAAATACAGGGGTACATGAGCTGGCACTTTGAGAAAGAAGAGGTACGCTTGTTAAAAAACATTGAAGACCCCTGGTCTAGAGCATTAAAATGCTGGTAGTCCAGTACTCAACACCTTTCCATACATCATCAGGAATTTTACCCTATGGTCAGATAAGTAGACTGAAGGGGATTTGCTTTCCTCTGTAACAGGAGAGGGCTCTTTACCTGGGACGTCTTGAACATATATTGACAACATTTCACAGAAGCAGGACATTGGCCGTCATGATTCCCCTGCTTTACTTGTGACAGGTTAGGGTGTTAGGTCTGTGTTGTGTTAAGGTTGACAATAGTCTTATGTAGAGTTTAGATAATGTTTGTTTGTATGGGATGATTTCAATAGTTATGATCCTGACACTGGCAGGGGGCAGGACTAAATGATCTCTGGAGGCCCCTTCCAGCCCTACTCCTCTATGCATCTATGATCATTTAATACTGCATCAAGGCACACACACAAGCGTTTATCACTGGCAGGAATATCCATTAAAGAAAGGTGACATGAGTTAATATTTTTCCCCTTTAAGTCTTATTCCTATTCCCCCTCATTCTTTTTCTTTTCTGTAGGGAGGCATATTCTCCAGCAGAATTAAACCTGAAACTACAGGAAAACTTCAGGAAGCTAAAAAAAGGGAGCGAGTTGAGCAGAATAGAATTGCTTGCTTCTGGAAAGAGTGGTCAACAGCTGAACATTAACAGCAGTGGGGAAAGTCTGTTAATCAAAAGGGGTGAGGAAGGATTATTAACCAAGTAACCAAAGAAAAAGATCTATTGGGAAAAAAGGGGGGGGGGGGCTGGTTCAGGGTAAATCAGGGGTGTTATACAAGTTTATGGACTTAGAAAATAAACCATCACGCATTTACTGGGAAATAGAAGGTTTGTTGAGGTTTTGAATAGACATAAAGGAAATGGGGAAAAGATTGATACATTCACAAGCTACTTATACCAAAGCAAAACAATTAGGCCAATGAGGCCAATATCTGGATTCAAACACCTACCTTCAAGCATACATCACTGTAAAGAGCATGGCAGACAGCAACAGTTTAAAGGAAGAGAAGAATACCAAAGCAGATCTAGAAAGGAGACATATGCAAACTTACCACCAAACGAATATCCTTTATTTCTCCAATTCCTAAATTAATTTTTTTCCTTTCATTCACAGGGAGGCGAATATTGATGAGGTAGAATTTGTGAGCCACGCTTCCAATCTCCATGAAAGGAAGCAAATCACAGTCGTAGTAACGGCCTTCAGATTCTGGCATCTTAATGAAACAGCACAATGAAAACACGGGGGTCAGCTTTGTTCATCTGCTGGGACTTCGTAGTCATTTTAAAAAACTTTAGTGAGTTAATTTGAGGGATCTAAACTTAGACAAATAAGGTATATACTTCATCCTGACCTTTACTCAAGGGCTAGAAAGTCAGTATTGGCCACCTTAATATCTACTAGTCATTTTGTTAAGTCTACAAGGTGGTGTTGAACCATTTTAGCGAATTTTAAATTTTAGAGGTGATGAAAGCATGAGACTTGTTTCTTAGCAAATGGACATCATTTGCTTTTCCAGCAATTGAATCGGAGCTTTTAATATTGTCATAATTTTAATTACTTGCCAGCTAGAACTTTATGGTTACTGCCATGTTGCATATGGCAATTTAGATCTTTATGGTGGTGAAATAAAGATCTTCTTGGTCTGGCACTTGACGAGTTTTCAGAAAGATAAATCCGAAGCAGAGTTGAGCACCTCCAGCTCTCTCCAGTTTTCATGGTGCCAAATCACTGCCCGTTAATTAGTAACATAGACACCATTAAATTATTTAGGCTGCTTCATGGAGCAAGTCAGAATTATCCAATCAAATATATTTAAACATTCATTTTTAAAAGTTATTTCACTGTGCAAGTGTTTTACAGCATAAGTCACGTAAAATAAACTTCAGACATAAATGCAAGTCATTCGAAACAAAATCAGCCAGGCTTGCAAAATAAATACAGGCAGCAAACACAGCTATTAAGACAAATTGCTTTGATCCCTAGACTTAAAATCTGTAATCGATATTGATGCCATTAAGCACTTAAGAGATTAAAAACAAACAAACCAAAAACAACCCAGCAAAACCTGCACAGCATCTAACAGCCAAATATCAGATGTTAAGAAGAGATAGTTAACAGATCTATGATCCATTTATCTTTATGCCAAATGACCAGCAACAAATCTATCAACAGATCTATTGCTGACTATTATCTAGCACTCGCTTGACTAAATTGGTTACCTTAACTTCACATTACTTCTTATAGATGCAAGAGAACAATTTAAAAACAGGAGCTAAATAGAGCCCAGAAATATCCGCAGGTGCACACCACTCACCCGTAACCTCCTTCAGTTCTCTCCCTCTCCCCACAATACAAACATGCTCTAAGTTTTC